TAAATAACACATTTTTCAACCCATAAGCATTACCTCCAGGAGCAGAAGCTGGTCTCAGTTCCTCTGCACTGTACAAGATAAATATTTTATAAATGAATAATAAACCCAGCAAATTTTAACTTCAACATTTTAAATGATTTCTATGAAAAAATGTGACTAAACACAAAAGCTTAGAACTAATTAAAAGGTGTGCAGCCATGTCCCCTTAAGAAACATTATCTGTCATCCAACCCCATATGTCTCCAAGACAAGGCAGAAACAGCAAGACTGCTAAACTGAAATCAGCAGGCAAAAAAGACATAACTGAGTGCAATCAGCATAAATGGTGATAACTCAACCCAAAACAGAGAAAAATAAAAGAGAAGGCATACAGACTTTGAAGAGCATCAGCCCTGAGGGACACCATAACACACCTGTGTTAATAAGTAAGAGAAAAAAAGATGTACTTAAGTTGACTACCACCTGACAGCTAAGAAGCAAGTTAAGAATGTGTGGTTTTCAGAGAGCAAAATGCTCTCCTGCTTGTAACATGCAGGATTCCAGTTGGTTCTGGCCTTAGTGGAACTGCACTGTCTTTCTTGTAAGGAGGTGAAACAGGGTTTCATGAAAACCACAAATTCTGCAGAGTCAGTAAAATATTTCCTCCATTAAGAATCAGTATCCACTGGGTTGACTGCAGTAGATTCAGCAAAGTTTCAAAGTCTTAGTAAAGAACAGTCATTCCTTTCTCTGGTGACCTCTGCAAAATTGCTCAAACAAAGACAAAACAAAACACACTCTTTTCTAGTGTAAACTGGTGTAGTTCAGTACAGTGGAATTTTGAGCTACAACAGCTTTGCTGAAATGTTTAAAGATTTCAGGATAATCAAGCAATTTGAGTTAAACTGCAGAAAATTTATAAATAATCACAGCATTTTGCAGTCAGAGCGACAGACACTGCGTCCATGCTTCATTCCTTGGTGCCTTATGTAGCTATTCCCACCTGATGGTAAAACTGCTACCAACTAAGGAGTTTCCAAACACTAAATTCTGATTATCTATTCTGGTGTGCAAAGGTGCTGATCCATTAAAAATTAAACCAATAATCTTGCATTTATTAAAATGTTACCTTTGTCATGCCACCATCAGGAAAAGTATGTATGAAATGTTTTAAAGTCACAATAAGAGTAGCAATGATACTATCTGTTTTTGTAGCCTCAACATAATTCTGAAATAACTATAGTCAAGATAAATCATCTAAAAGGATGGTCTAAATTGAATACTGTCAGGATTAAAGCACAGGCACAGTCCCAAATAAAGCTACATCTGCCATCATATATCATTTTTGCAATTAGATAGCTAATTGAAGTTACTCAAGAGCCAAGTTATTGAAACTCCAAAACATTATTGGAAAAGCAAAAGTAATGAACATAATAAATACCTTGCCTGTACACTTTTGGGACAAAAGATTTTACATTTTTATAATTTTTTTTTTAACTTAAGAGATCACTTTTATTATTTTTTGCTGGATTAAAAATTTGTTTCATAATTGTAGAAGAATTTTTGAAGACTGAAATTCTCCAGCAAACCACAGAATACCAACTGTGCTGACAGTGATGGTAAAATACCTGAAAAGCCCATCTATAATGGAGCACAAAAATCTTTCTCTGACTACCACAATAACAACAAAGTCTCTTTTCAGAGCCATTGCGCATGTATGTAAACTTCCCTGAATGAAAAGAACAGAGCAGTGCTCATGCGTTTCTAAGACACTTTTAGCATTATCTCTCAAATAAAAAAATATCTCTAGATTGTAATCTTTCTCTGCTACTGGTTGCAGTCAGATTGCATTGAAGAAATTTTTATAATTTGAAATGGGTTAGAAAAAAGGTAGAGCATCAGAAGATGAAATAATCTTGCTCAAGAAACAGCCCTGCACTTTGCTCTGCAAAAAAATGAAATAGATGAAGAGCCAAAAGTGGAAGTATAAATAATTTCTCTCATTGATCTCTGCTCTAACATTTGATTTGATTGCTAATATATTTATTCTTTGCTATTAATATGGAAGAATATCTAATCCCTATTTTTAACATCACAATTTAAATGCTCAATTTTAAAACTTCCTTTTCTGCCAGAAGTACATTCACAAAACATACAGACACTAAGTAATCAGTTAATTATTCCCAATGCAAATATTAAATATTGAAAAAGATAACTGGCTACAAAGATCACGATAAAACTCAGGGAAATATATATTTAAAAGTTTGATTGAAATAAAAGATGCCTAATAGAAATTAAAATCACATTTTGTTTTAAAATAATCTATTCATGTCACTAAACATTATGAGTGTTGATAAGTAATGATGAAACTCTGGTCAAATCTGTCTTTCAGTTTAAGACAGCTCTTTATTTTCACATCACAATTCTCACAAAACTCTGCTGCTCCCTATAACTGGAGAGTGTTGTTAGTTAAAAAGCACATGGTAAAAAGGCCAAAACCTCCTCCATTATCTACTTTTAAGTCTCTTTTTGGATCTCACCCAGGTCACGGCTTCTGTAAAATATTAGAAAACACTTAGGCAGCCAATGTACTGTATCTACTGCCTCTCCTAATGCACTCTTCTGTCATTCACCTGCTCCTGCTTATTCTGGTCAAGGTAGCTGCTGGGACACAAGCTCTTGTGAGCAAGCAGGAATCACCATTTTACCACACACTTCTCAGTGTGTTCCCACCTCATGCTTCAATGTAAGGTGGTCACTAGGAACAACAAATTCTGCATATTTCTGGCTGAGAGAAAAGGAAGAGAGACGGACGACTGTTGGATTTTATTTTGGAAGTGTGTGTCAGTATGTTGAATGTCATCAATATAAGAACTTAATTGACAGAAATTCTTCTGTCAATTGATTGATCAAGATTGATCGGACAATAACAAAGATTTACAAAGACATCAGTTCCACATACAATTAAACCACTGTCAAGACCTCTAAAATATAAAAAGATCACCTTGCTGAAGAGAAATAATCTTCTACGCACCTTTGCAATTGCTCTTAGCTGAACTGCTTCATTTTAATTTTATTTTTTCCTTGTTCATTATCTTAGTTGTAAGTTATTATCAGTCAAACTGCATAAAAACGTAGCAAGGTTATCAGAATACCTGAAAAGTATTAGAATATCAGAAAAGGGTGTCACGGATAATGAAAGCAGATAAGGAACAGAATGTTTTCAATGTTTTGAACAAGATGTTGTCTTTGGAAGGCCTGAGTTACTCAGATCTGAACACCCCCAAATGCTGCTGGGAGTTACACGTAATAGCTTAGTCTAGGCCCATTTCTAGATAGTCGAGTTATTCAGGGTGACAAGATTTACAGACACAGCTTCTCAGCGTGAAAAGCATGCATGGAAAAACATATGCTAAGGTGAAGGTTTTCTACAAAACTTATTCTTTGTCACATGGACTTGTTGTTGACAGGGGAGCTCAATTGCATATGAGGTTTGCAGTACAGCTATTAAAATATTGCATAACATTAGATTAATGTAGAGATTTGTGTGTGAGGAAACCAACTGCCACCCGTGGCTTCTACATCACTGCTATTGTTCTTCATGAGCTTTGAGCTCCACGTAGGTCACCCTGTTCATCTACTCACTATTGGAGTAATCAAACACAGGAGAGCACAGAAATCATCCCAGATATCCCCCCGCAAAAATGGAAAAGGAGCTTTTCCAGTTTTTCAAGTGCTAAATGAGGAATTTGAATAAAAAAAGTGTTTTCACTGGCACAGAGGTCAGTGCAATATTTAGCACATGTAACAATCCCAAAATTCCATAGTATTCCATAAAGAGTATTAAAAATAATAACTAATGTAAAAAATCTTATTACATTTTTATTTTAATTATTTTTCTTGACTTTCTGATTTTACTATGATTAGAATTTTCTAAATCTTTTACCTAGGTAGAACAAATATAGTACAACATGCACTATTCCGTAGAACATATGTGCAAATTTGAAATTCTGAAGTAAAAGTCCTCCTAGTGAAATACCGAAAACAGATCATGATGTTGATGCAATTTAATGGTATTCTAGAACTTATTCATGTTAGATTTTATTTTAATACATCAGGTATTAACTGAAAAGTTGAAGTAACTAATATTAAAATGTAATAAAATTGTTTCCGCAATCATACAACAAATCTTGATTGTTACAAATTAGACAACAAAGTTTCTGAGAATATGCCACACTACAGCTGCATCAGCAATGTAACTTCTTTTGCAAGGAGTAAATCTGAAGAAATATTTCACTTAAGTCTTTTAAAAACCCTTCAAAAACGCCATCTGGTTATGGCCATTAACTATGGGAAGGGATTGAAAGGAGTGGCTTTACAGAAATATAAATAAGATATTGTAGCACAAGACAAAAAGAATAAGAACATTCCAGCTCTACTGCATAGTAGTTATTTTCCCTAGTAAATATATTTTTCTGGGGAACAAGACATAAAATGAGAAACCACACATAGTCGGAAACCATTTTTAAATCTCATATCCCCATAATGTTTCTTTTTTACAAATAAGGGAAAATCACCATATAACTGAGTTAGGAAGGTATAATACTTCTAAAAAATAGTCTCCTTCTAAAGAAATTAAATACCAATGCAGTGAAAATGGCAACATTGTTTACCACGGAAATAATATTTGCGCAAAACAGGACACAATAACATCTTCTAAAACAACTGAGCAGCAATAGCAATGCCACTCTGTGTTTCAAATATTTATATTCAATGTATTTATAATAATCTTCTCAAAGGTTTGTGAGAAATAAATCTAATCTCCCCCTCTTTTTTCAATCTATGCATGGTATATGTGCTAACTTACTGAATTCATCCTTCATGCAATTCCAGTTTATTAAAGAGGTTAAAAATTTATAAAACTCTGATGGGATATGGTTTTAATGCTTCATCACACTACCCATCATTTGCTTTTCAATCTAGATCAGAATGATCTTTCCGACTTCCCTGCAATCACCTACCTGCACAGCTAATATTTTCTGAGCGTTCTCCTGAGAGGCTGCCTGGATCCTCGCCAGCCCAGCGTGGCTGGAGAGGCCGCTCCGGCTCCACCATGCCGCCAGTGAGTCCCTGCTCCACCGCCTCTGTAGCGCCTGCAGCTGGGACAGCAACGCCAACAGTCACGCCAACGCCAAAAGCGGCAACGCCAAAACCAATGGCCATGGCAACAGCAATGGGGGGGCTGGGGCAGGGGGAAAAGGCAAGAAGGTGGGGGGAGGAAGGAGGGGAAAAAAAAAAAGAACAAGAAAAAAATTAAATTCCCAAGTCAGAGCAGGAGAGGAAATTAATGGCAGCGTTCAAGAAGAATGATGGAGGGAAATATAGAAAGCAGTCAATAGCCCATTCTGCGCTGTACGGACCTGACAGGAATTTCACAGTCTCTTGGTTTTTCAGCCCACTCATGTGCATTCATCAGAAACCAGTCACATCTGGCTGCCAGGATGGGGGGTTAATTTTCTCTAAATGCCTCAGCAGTTTTGTTCTAGCTGAGGCAAACTCTGTGACTGCAAAGCTGATGAGTAAAATATTTCTACTTCACCCAGTTTAACTCAAAACCGATAGCCTCGGGACATATTGAACCTTTCTTAAAAAAATAATCTTTTGAAGCTTTTTAAATGGCACATCAGGTCAGGCCAAAGTTTAAAATGCAAGTTTAAGACTTTGATGGACACAAGGGCTTTTTTTTCCCTGTATAAAGCTTATCATAGCTTGGCAATGTGTGCTTTAGTGCATGACAAAACTAAAGAGAATTAACTTAGCCATCAACTGCTCAGGGAGAACAATAACAGGAAAGAAATTTCCATATAGAAGTTCCTATTAATCTACCCGGCTATAACCACATGACAAGAAAGCATCTAACAGCACTAAATTGCATCAAATGTGGTAGCTGAGAGTGACACTACTTAAAAAAAGGATTTTATATAGGCATACAGAAAAGATAACATTTATCCTAGAAATTGTATTCACTGCAAAGGATCCTAACTGAAATTATTCCTAGTGGGAGTACTTACCTGATAGGCTTTTGCTATTTGCTAACAGTAATTATTGTTACAATCCATGGTTAAGAATAATATCAGTTTTTCCTTAATCTACAAGTATTTGGAACTCATAAACACAGTGTGGCAGGTCTTGGTCTAGAAGGAAGATGTTTAAAGAGATCTGAAAATCTACCAACACAGAATATTTTTGAAAAGAACGGTGTTTTTTGGCAAATTCTGCAAATACTTCTGCATATTTTAGTCTAGTTGTAATGTAGAAAATGGAAATTTAAACTACCTAATTCATTGCTTAGTGGAAATATACGGGTTTGTATTTCATCAAGTTAATTATTTCAATAAATTCTATAGCTATTGTTAGCATGAAGCCTTCAAGAGTATGCCTGTCACCCAGATTAACACAATGGATTGTACCATTCCTTCGGAAATATTACATTTCATTAAGGTCAATGCCACAGGTCAATAATTGGATCAGTTATAAAGAAGCTTTTACATGATAAGATATGACTGCTCTTTAGGAGCAAGCGCAGTGTACCAGGTGAAAAATACACTTTTTCAAAAGAATGTAGATTGTAGTAATATCAAATGAGCTATTACAGCCTAGAGAATAATTAATGCACATTTTCAAAATTAATGGTCTGATTTTCGGAAATACTGAGTTTCCACAAGTCCCATTAGATTCCATGGAAGCTGTAAGTATGCTGCATCTTTGTAAATGAGTCTGTAAAATATTAAAACAGGTCTTTGTACATAATATTTTGTGTTCTGTCAATGTATATTAGAAATAACACGAGGGAAGGTAGAAAAACTCAATGGAAAAATAAAAAATTATCAACTCAAATATTATGTTTTCCAGTGTGAAGAACCTTTTCTAAGTGCCAGAGCTCCTTTCCTCCTATTTTAAGAATTATTTTGTTTCCTGAAATCTTTTTCTGCTTGTCTGCTGTTAATTCAACTATTTTCAAATATCACTTTTTTGATACCATTCTGGGGTCTGAAAAAGAATGCAGGTGAAAGAAGGGCAAAGCATAGCAACCTAGGACATTTTATTAAAACAACCTGCTTCAGCCCTAGAAAAACAAGTAGAAAACAATTTTTGGATTATCAAAACACTGGTTTTTGTAAAAAGCTAAAATAATTGCAAGATATGTTGTTGTAATAAGGAAAATGGTGTCTGGGGGAACATATGAAAGCATTTACCAGTGAACAGTGAAAGGGATTGGTGGTTATTCAGTTGAGTGGCTATCCAGCTTCTTATCGAGAGAATCAAAGACATTAAAAAGTTTTGAAATTTGGCTATTTGAAAATTGCCATATTTATTGAGAAACTGGCAGTTTATAATGGCTGGTGTCCAATACAGTCTTTGCTAATGCTTCTCATTTCAAAATTACAAGTTCATGAAAGCTGATACTGTTGTAAGTACCACATTTCAAAATATATCTCGTATTGTGAAAACACTTTGTTGTGCCTAACATAATGAAGTCTAAACCAAACATTTATTATCTTTACAATGTTAATTGCAATATAAATAACATTTATGCATACAATCAGAAATACAGGTCTATGAGAAAGTAACAATTTGATCAGATAATGTTGCCTGCGATCTTAGAATGAAATGATGGGCACACTAACCTAGGAGAGACCAAGCAAATCCCTGAGTCAACAGCAGACCCTTAGCTGAGGCAATGATTTAAAAAAGAAAAATCACAAGTAATGTTTAGCCCTAAAGCAGATTTCATAGGCTTTGCCATGATGTCCCTGTCTCTACAGACACCCATACTGATCCTGTTGATCCTCTTCGCAGTCATATAACAGTTTTATTAGCTTTATTAGACAGTTATTAGCTTTTCCTTATCTTTTACATTTTTTTGTCAGCTGTAGAGACTTAAGAAGGCATGGCATGCATGAGTTAAACACATGATATTGTTGCTATCTCCTTTTTTTTCAGTGTTTTTTTTCACTATTTGAGAAACAAGCTGTTTCCTAAATATTCTGAACACATCAAGCCAAATGCTGGCAGAGAATGTAACAGCACCCATCTCCAGTGTAGGAATATGAACAGTAGCCAAATATTTATATGAGATTCACTTTGGTTTTGATGTTTACCTTGCTGTGGGAGCAGGACTGAAGGAAAAAGGAAATTGAAAGACAAGCAAGCTCCAGATTTTGGGGATTCAAAAGGAAGGGAAACCCCGGAATCCTTGTTTCTGTTGTCCTTGAATCTGCCTTGGATGCAGCTGATACAGCCTGATGAGAGGGGACAATTTTTGCAGCAAGTATCTTGTCCTCATCCTCACCCTGCAAACAAAGAAGCAGTGAATAAATGGCTTTGCTGGGGAGACACCTTTGGAAGTTGCTGGAGAGGATCAATGATGTTCTCAAGGAGTTGCTTTTGGGGCTTCACTGTCATTTCCCTTCCATTATGGCTCCCCTCTGTGACTCACAGCAGAGGGGAACATATGACTCCGTGGTCATTTAATTCCTTCTTTATACGTGGCATATATCATCAATAATATCAGCATAAATTTGGGAAAAGGAGATGTGAACTATCTGACATTGCTATCTTACTAGAAAGGAACCTTATGATTCGGGGTAACTTATTCTGTTCTCAACTTAAAGTTTTTTGTTATGATACATCTAGATACTTCATTCAATTCATGCCTGACTTGCAGTAATATGATTGAAATCAAGCCAATATCTCAATCTGTAATTTCTTATTTGAGGGATCAAACTGGATTAAAAAACATATGATACTATTTGAAGCTGAAGCCCATTTATTATTCCAGTGGCATTGTTTCTAGGCCCTCATTAATTGATTCTATCACTATATTTGGATTCTCTATACTGCAAAAAAAGTTAAACTGAAAGAAAATCCCACATAGTAAGAAGTAACTGTATCTTATTTAGACCAGAACACTTTTTACTTTTGTTGTCTGGCAGTTCACAGGAACCCAAAATTTTCCCCTGCTTATCTTTTATTAGAGTCTAGCTGCATCAGGCTAGACCAACACAGATTGCAGACATGTTTGACAATGAACCCAAAACTAGGGTCATTTACTTGTTTAAATGTCAAATGGCATGTGGCCCCATTAAGAACACAAAGTGAACAGCGTCTGGAACTCAGTCCTGATGCTTTTCCTCTGTCAATAACATACTACTTGAACTGCTTCAATTGCCAGTTGTTGTCAGCATCATGCTAGCATCATATTGGGTTATGATTAGAAACCTAATTCCCTTCTCAGCTGTCTTTAAATAGTGAGATCCAATTGATCTCAATACAACTGTTTGTCCTTTACACCTGAGAATGCAAAGACTCTCTATGAATAAAATATCTTTTTAAACAAAATTATAATTATTCGTAATCACAGAATATGCTGAGTTGGAAGGGACCCACAAGGATCATTGAATCCGACTCCTGGCCCTGTACAGGACCATCACCAAGAGTCACACCATGTGCCTGAGGGTATTGTCCAAATGCTTCTTGAACTCTGTCAGGCTTGGTGCTGTGACCACTTCCCTGGGGAGCCTGTTCCAGTGCCCAACCACCCTCCGGGTGAAGAACCTTCTTCTAATATCCAACCTAAACCTGCCCTGACACAACTTCAGGTCATTCCCTCAGGTCCTGTCACTGGTCACCACAGAGAAGAGATCAGTGTTTGCCCCTCCTCTCCCCCTCACGTGTTCTGCATTTAGAGTACATACTTACATCTGAAGTGTCTGGTCCGTTAAAATGGCAAGATTCTCGATCACATAGAAGATAATAGATATTAATATAGGCAAAATTATTGTTCTGGTTGTCTCAAAAGAAGATTCTCTTTAAATTTTTTCAAACTTTAGGTATTAGATCTAAAAATGTGCATGGTAGGTGTTTGCCTCAGGCTTAATTTTTTGGGTAGCCCAATCAGTTTGCTTTTTTTCTCAGGTATTCTGGGCAAAATACATTACACTGCTCCTATTACCAAATTATACTGGTACTTCCTTTACTAGATGCAGTATGCAAAGAGAACTCAAATTTCAAAGGGGACAGTATTTTTGTGTGTGATATGACTTTTTCATAAAAATATTCTGGTGAAAACTGTAGGTCTTTGGAAAACTATTGACTG